ATTCCCCACATGGGCACAATGTGTTAAGTCCATTTCTGGTGTCCCCCGCCGTGATATTGCTGGAATATTGCTAAAAGCGGCGTAAAACTAAACTCACTCACTCACTCACTCACTCACTCACTCACTCACTCACTCACTCTTTAGTCATCTGTGTGAGTCATGAACACCTCTAGCCTCATTTGTAGTATAGTTAGTGTTGTGGCCTTTGGCCTGATATTAGCTTAGCTTACAAGGCCAAACAGAAGTTTACTAGACTGTGGCCAAAGTCACATGCTGTTTAGACCCTTGAACATGTTGAAGATCTGGGTTAGAAATGGTCTTCAGTAACCCATGCTTGTCATAAGAGGCCACCTTCGGGATCAGGTGGTCAGGCTCGCTGACTTGGTTGACATGTGTCATCGTATCCCAATTGCTCATGCTGTGGATCACTGGATTGTCTGGTCCAGACTGGATTGTTTACAGACTTCCATCATATAGCTGGAATACTGCTGAGTGTGGCGTTAAACAACAGACTAGAAGACAGGCTGTTTAGATGGGTGGTAGACCTGCTGTAATTGTGACCATTCACTGATGGCATAGTCATGCTGGAGACTGAGGGGAGAGGCACCCAATACCCCATGCTTATAACACATGACTCAGCGAGACAGTGTCATTGGGGGTCCGTCTGTCTATCAGCACAATCTGACAGATTGTTACACTTCTTACAACTTATAAGTGACCCTGACATAAACATTTACACTTCAGTACAATAACATTGTAAACTACAGTGTCAAACAAAGGTCACTGGAATATAACAATTTTGTAACTTACCTACTGATGGTGACAGTTCAGTCACAAGGCATTATGTAGCCCTAAAACATCTGTAAAAACTGAGACCACGTTGGCTGGTAAATGTCCATTCTATTCCAACAATGGTGACACATAATCCACAATTCACCATGTATCTCGAGAACCCCTTCCTGTTAAAACTGTCACCACCTGGGTTGCTAGAAGTCCACTCTTCTCTAATGATGGTGAGAGTTCAGCCACAATTCACCATGTTCTGGAGAACATGTATAAATGTCACAACCTGCGCAGGTAGTTGTCGACTCTCCACTAACGATGACAGTTTACTCACAACTAATTGTGTTTTCGAGAACACCTTCTTGTATAAATGTCACAACCTGTGCAGGTAGTTGTCGACTCTCCACTAACGATGGTGACAGTTTACTCACTAAGCACAGAGTGTCGCTAGAACTCACAGTATAAACTGTCACAACCCAGCCAGATAGGTATCTCCCAACTGATGGTGGATGTCATCTTTGTTGACTGACACCATGGTAACAGTTTATTCTACCCAGATATCCCCAGATCACCATAACAACAGCATCTTGAAGCATCCTCTTGACCGGTGCTTTCAAGACATCACAGTGTGCGTCAATCAATACCCTTCATTAGCCACGGAATCTCCTCAGGTGCAGTTGAATCATTAGTGAAAACTTGATTACAACTTAATGAATTCCGCTGACTAGGTAATGACCACATGGAATATATTTATAATTTGTGAGTTGGAGTGCGTGGTAGTTCAATAGCATTTAGTATTATCTGTGAACTTTTACTAGGAGGAAAATGCTGTTATATTATTGATATTTCTGCCTGTTTTGTGAAAAGCTTTATTTCAGACATTGAATTTGCCCTCAAGCGACAACTCATTTCGCATGTAAGCATACTAAGGAGTTTCTGTTGTATCCTTGTTCCTAGGCAGTGCAGATCGTCTTTCTCGTTTGCTTCCAAAATATTTGCCAGCTTTGAGAGAATAACTGTAACAACTGTCAACATTGTAACTAATGACGACAGGTCAAACTGGCAGCTCAACTCGTACATACATTGGGTAGGTAATGTTATCGGGGGTGATGGAGACATTATGCTGGTATCTGAGGCTGATGTGGCTCATGGTGGGGATGTGATGACATTGGCTGAACACAGAATCTCACCAGCATATCCATGATGCAGAATGTATCTTATTAGAGATATCATGAAATGACCATCTCCCTATACAATACACATCACAATATCTTGTTCCTATTGCGATACATACTTCATTACAATTTTGCATGAATTGTTATATTGTATAGACCATAAACACTATTAAAGAAGCATGCAACTTCCTGAATATATACCCGTGAAGATCCGGGTTGGAATTGATCTTCAGTAACCTATGTCATAAGAGGTGACTAATGGGATCGGGTGGTCAGGCTCTCTGACTTGGTTGACACACGTCATTGTATCCCAATTGCGTAGATCGATGCTCATTCTGTTGATCACTAGATTGTCTGGTCCAGATTTGATTATTTATACACCGCCGCGATATAGCTGGAATATTGCTGAGTGCAGCATAAAACTAAACTCACTCACTCTTGAATATCTTGTATCGTGTTTCAAATACCTGCTGTGATTGTCTCATTTCAATCCTTATTTTATTTCATACTAGAGTATCAACATTAGTATTTTCTGTTATTGAATAAAATGGCAGATTCCCTGCTTGCAAAGCATCCACCATGTGTACCTTAAATACAAACGAATGGGTTCACAGTGAAACGATGTGGAGTAAGAATATGAAACTAAACAAGATTCCACTATAAATCTGAATGGGGTTAAAATATGAATCAATGACAGGTGTGTATTGTGTATTGTATTGTTTGAGAAAATTATAAATTATTGATGTATTGGTTAATAGTGACTTCCTCAACATTTATCTTTATATTGATTTTCTTTGAGTCATTTGCACTGATAATTTATGGAACTTACAGGAAATTGAATTCACAGTATGTGTATTGACAAATTGCTTGAAGTGAATTTTTATATTTTGGTTCAGCAAGAACTGTGTTAGTTTTGGAGTCTTTATGATGAACTGCGTGTTAGTTTTGGAGTCTTTATGATGAACTGTGTGTTAGTTTTGGAGTCTTTATGATGAACTGTGTGTTAGTTTTGGAGTCTTTATGATGAACTGTGTGTTAGTTCTGGAGTATTTATGATGAACTGTGTGTTAGTTCTGCAGTCTTTATGATGAACTGTGTGTTAGTTCTGGAGTATTTATGATGAACTGTGTGTTAGTTTTGGAGTCTTTATGATGAACTGTGTGCTAGCTTTGGAGTCTTTATGATGAACTGTGTTGTTAGTTCTGTGAACTGTGTCTGTATGATGAACTGTGTGCTAGTTTTGCAGTCTTTATGATGAACTGTGTGTTAGTTCTGCAGTCTTTATGATGAACTGTGTGTTAGTTCTGGAGTATTTATGATGAACTGTGTGTTAGTTCTGCAGTCTTTATGATGAACTGTGTGTTAGTTCTGCAGTATTTATGATGAACTGTGTGTTAGTTCTGGAGTATTTATGATGAACTGTGTGTTAGTTTTGGAGTCTTTATGATGAACTGTGTGCTAGCTTTGGAGTCTTTATGATGAACTGTGTGTTAGTTCTGTAGTCTTTATGATGAACTGTGTGCTAGTTTGGAGTCTTTATGATGAACTGTGTGTTAGTTTTGGAGTCTTTATGATGAACTGTGTGTTAGTTTTGGAGTCTTTATGATGAACTGTGTGTTAGTTCTGGAGTCTTTGTGATGAACTGTGTGTTAGTTCTGGAGTATTTATGATGAACTGTGTGTTAGTTCTGCAGTCTTTATGATGAACTGTGAGTTAGTTCTGGAGTCTTTATGATGAACTGTGTGTTAGTTCTGGAGTATTTATGATGAACTGTGTGCTAGCTTTGGAGTCTTTATGATGAACTGTGTGCTAGCTTTGGAGTCTTTATGATGAATGGGCAGAATTTTTATGATGCTTTGAATTATACATCCTTTGACCCAGCTTTGACAAGGCAGGCATTGTTTTGTCGAGCTTTCTTTTCAGCATGGTTTCAATGTCCCTCCTACATGTGTCTTCTTTGTCTCAGTTGGTCATGCAATCAGTAAACAAGAGGACAGGGTTTGTGTGGGGAGTGAACTGGGAAACCAATATCAAGTGCTGAGAATTCTCTTTGCCATTCAGGATTGAAGTTCTCTTTCATTTCATTTCCCAAGTCCAGAATCATGTCAAAATGAGGGTTGAGCTCATCCAGGAGCATATCTCATGTGCTGTTCAGCATTAATTAGGAAACTTTGTATACACACCATACAAGTGCCAAACTGTACATCTGTTTCATTAAACTGAGATCTTTTACCCTGATACAATATCTCCCTGCATGGAGAACTGACAACACCTGCATAGAAGTCTACATCAAGTGAAACCTTTTACACCTTTGCCTTCCTGATATAAATGAAGGATGCATGGTTTTGATGTAACCTGATGTCAGCTTTCTAAAATGATTTGGTTTCACTTTTAACCAACACAAAATTACAGTTATACCCCTGATAGTTCAGCTTGTTTGGTGTAGATGTCATGGTGCTGAGAAATGAGTGTATGAAATATTGACCAGCATGTGACGGCCTGACTGAATACAAACAAATTCATCTGCGGTGATCTTCATGCACAGAAGTATCATACTGGAGTAACATATGTAACTGTAGTTCAGTGGGATTCACAGGAACTTAGTAAAAAAATAGTTTGCTAGCATTTACAAGATAGCATTCCTGATGTAGCATGTTTAGGACAAGACGTGGTATTTTTTTAGCTAATTGATTTGTCCTGTATATAACTCCCATAATTCTTATGAATGTGTCCCTCTAAAACTCGATTGCCTTATTTCCTGAAACGTGTTTCTGATCCACAGGTTTAACTTAAATATAACATTTAAACATCCATTATCTTGTGTTGTCTTACTTCCTAGTGGTCTTCCCAAGCACTGTCCATTGGAGTTATCTTTCCCTGACATGTGCGCAGGAACCTCATAATTTTTCCTAGGGTACTCTGGGATTCCGAGGGAAAGGCCTCAGGTGGTAGTATTCTAAGAATTATTGTCAGTGAATACTTCTGTATCCTGACTCCATTGTTTGTGTATGCTCTGACTGAAGTTGACAATCTGTGTTGCAGGTTACCATGACACAGCAGCGTACCCAACTCCATCCTTCTACAATCCACTACCATGGCAACCCATACACATACCTCGAGTGAAGAATGAAAAGCCAAAGAAGTCAAAGCCAAAGAAATATGTCTGGAATCCAAATAAGTATTACTGAGCAGATATGTGTATATATCTTCTGTTATTTAATTTGATTTGTTTATTTGTTTTGAGACAGGAGGTATCTGTGATATGGCAGTTCACTAAGAAAGATCATACTGAATCTCTTATCACAATGTTGCTAGTTATCACTGTGGATGTGAGGACTCAAGTAGAAATATCTTATCAGACTCAAATACGTCTGTTGTAAATATCATACCTTGAAGCTGCACTATTTGCCATTTGTATTATCAGTTCAGACTAATATATATTTTTGTTTTTATTAATGGTAGTTTTTGTTTTCAGTCTTAGTAATTGCTACAAACAGGAATGTACAAAACTTTCATGGTATGATAAGGTAGTTGTTGTATGGAGGAACTTGTTTCTTGTAGTTTGTAGAAAACAGATGTTCCTGATTTCATTTGTATGAATCTGATTTATTATGCAGACTTGGATTGCATTGTTTTGTGTTGAGACTTGACATATATATGTTTGTATATTCCGTCCATTTCGTTGATTTCTTTCTTTGTATGTTCTGTCTCAGACAGAAATCTCTCTTCCCAGTCATAGATGTCATACCCTTTTGTAACTGCCTGTACTCTTGCATACAAACAGTTGTGTCAGGTTCCTGACCTTGTATTACTGATATCACCGTGTTCACGAATAGTGCCTGACTCTCTGACAAATCCGGCAGATTCGCCAACTGTCCGATAGAACTGTACAACCCGCTGGCCCCAGTGTCTGACTGTATATTTCACAATGACTTTGACTGAAGTTGTTATATGTGACATATCACATTTGTTTGTTGTTCTTAAATCGGATGTTTGTTAATTTCAATGCCAGTTATAAGAAATGTTAAATCTGTAATGTGTATTTAATTTTATTCTATGGGTCCTGTGAATTTTCAATGGGTCAGACAGACATCTGAAACTTACAGGACCCAATGTCCTGTTACTTTGAAACATCATTCGTGAATACTGATATCAACGATATCATGTTGGAGGCGTCATTTACTTCATGGTTTCCATTGACTTGTATACTTAAAGGGAGATAATTCATTTAGTTGAAGCTCTCGTAAAATATTGCTTACACTATCAGATTTTGGATGATGTCATATTTTGTAAAGTTCTTTTATGATGACAGATTAAGATATTGTATATAAATCCAGGCCTTGGTTTAATTAGCTTGAGTCTTTATTCAGCTAAATCAGAATGACCACACTGTGTTTGAGTAGGTAAGGATATGAGGCCACTTTTTCTTGTTTTACAAGAACAATTTATAACCATAAATATTGGTTAAAATACAGATTTAGGCACATGAACTTAATGGACCAGTTTGCAAGAAAACAGACCTTTTGTCCAGCACTTTTTCAACATAAAAAGTATTTATCTAGTAGTTTCATAACCAAAACAGTACAGATATCATAATAACTAATATATTTCTTGCATTTTATCGATTCATATTACAGTATGCACATTTACTGAGAGTTCTAGATCCATAGTAAACACACCATGGCTTCTCAGATCTATTTCACATGGTGTAGCTATAGGAGTGTGGGTCTTGTATCTTGATATGCAGTTTACTGTGTTAACCCTAATGGTGTCGTCAGCTGGCTTTTTGTACCACAATGTGATAACGTCACGATTTACAAAATGAATACATCGTACAAAAAGTGCATATTGTCCTTCCAACAGTAACAATTGAACAAATCCAAAACGAAACTGCACTTGATTTTATTGTTGACATAAGACTAAAAATCATTTTTCATTTTGCACCACATTTGTGTAATTTTGAGAGGTCAGGTATACAAACCAAAGACAAAACATATGTGCTAATAGTAATTCTTTGAAAATGAGGGAATTTGGTGCAAGGGCATTACAGGCAGTAACATGTCAATATCATGTTTCATCTATTATTTTAGCTGAAGATAATTGGTAATCTACAGACAGTAGAAGCTGACACAGATTTCACTGACTCATTCTGAAAAGCAGTTATTTCATTGGTCAGAATGTCTGTCTCTCATTTCATCAGGGGTCATTTGATTGGCTGGTTGGATTATGATTTGGCTTGCATTTACATTGTGAGGTATTTATATAAAGGCAGTGTGTACATTATCCTAAGTTATTTAGATATTACTATCTTTGTTGACTGGAATTGTAAAACTTTTCCAGCATGGAAACAGAACTTGAGTATGTAAATACATAGCCATGTAATTACATCTGACCAATTCTGAAGGTTACATTGTATTTTCTATGGATCTATGTGCATATTTATCCTTATCATATGTGCTATGAGTGTACATGAGTACCTGTTGCTCATCATGTGTGTGTCTAGTTGGCCCTTGTTACAAAGCACTGTCTGTGATATGTGTGAATGTATTTGGACTGAGGCTGAAAAATAAATAGCAAAGTCAAAAATTGTGTTGTTGTGTTGTGTATAAGTAATGATGTTTTAGGGGTTTTCAAGTGACTGCCCCTCTACTAACAAGGCTGGGCTGCTACAATTTACAGTGCAGAGTTACATCCCTTAGTTGTTCCTGGATCTGATGAATTCGAATCCTCTGTTCACCCAGATTAGGATTCTGCTTGTCAGCACTTTGACCCAAGAGTTTCACCAATGTGGCAGACATACAGGGTCTGCTGTACCATGGTTGTACCACACACATGTAACATGCAGGGTCTGCTGTACCATGGTTGTACCACACACATGTAACATACAGGGTCTGCTGTACCATGGTTGTACTACACACATGTAACATGCAGGGCCTGCGGTACCGGGGTCGTACCACACACATGTAATATGGCAAACTGACACACCATGACATAAAAACACAAACTGCTGCAACCTATTGTTTGACAGAATGGAATCTCTTGGGTGAGCCATGGTTGGCTGATATAGAGTCTAACCTGAGATTAGTTTCTTTGTTTGTAAGTCCTAAGCCCTTGTTCTTGCTACAACCTGGGTCTCTTTGGGCTCTCCTTATTCATTTACCTGATTAGCTGTTATATAGTTGAAGTATTCACAACATGAAACATCATTTTCACCATATATCATATATAATCTATCAAAAATATGGAAAGACACTGAACATTCCTACAGAACAGTTGGAAGTCACTCTATAACATGTACCTCACTGCCTCACAGTGGTTGGTTTCAGTGTTACATATTGCACCACATCAATCATTTTACTTTGGTGTTAAATGCTTTTGGCTTGCATATTGTTAATACAATGAAGGTTTTTGGAAGATATATTTTCGAAGGGTCATCCTGTTCTAGTAAATTCTGTGATCATCATCATCATCTTCTTCCTCATCTCTTACCTCCCCTTCCTCCTCCCCTTCCTCTTCTTCCCTTTCTTCCCCCTCCTCCTCGTCATCTTCCCCTTCCTCATCTTCCCCTCTTCGTCATACCCTGAACCTCCTGCACCTTCTACTACCTGCGTGAATGCCACTTTGGGAACCTGGGTACACAGTTTCCGTTTATGAAGGTCAAGGCTGCTCTTCCCTCTGAATTTGCCATGTCCGCACTGATCACAGTGAAACAAGTTGGATCGAGTCAGAACAGGACAAAGATGGCGTTGGTGGATGTGTAGAGAAGCCAGACCTCTAAGGTATCCTCTGTTACAGGCCTGACATCTGTACAGTCCGCCAGCTGTTCCGTTTTGGTTTCCAGCAGGTGCTTGCTTGGACTTTCCCACCTTCTTCGATAGAGATTTCTTATTGCTTGGACCAGATCTACCTCTGGTGGATGACATGGTTGTGTACCTGAAAGTCTTATTGATGATTTCTGAATGTGTTCTTGAAGGTGTCTGAGCAATTTAACATCAGTTGCTAATTGATGACCGACAACAGCACTCACAGACCGTCATGTAGACGATGTTCGATGGACTGACTGTCTGGTGGTACCTCACCACCACAGTATACTCTTCAATACTGCTGGAAATGAAGACGAATAATACACTAAAATATGCTGGACATTATTTCACTGTAAATTTTAGATTTATTTCAAAGTAGTATATTAAGTCATTGCTGTTGATACCCATTAGAACAATTACAGTGTAGATGGGACATTTCAGACATTTCAGCAGATACCAAGGTAGTATACTTCTTGACCAATGGCAGTGGTTTATAACATGGTGTACTTACTAGACACAGTGACATGTCAGCAGTACAGTGGTTTATAACACGGTGTACTTACTAGACACAGTGACATGTCAGCAGTACAGTGGTTTATAACACGGTGTACTTACTAGACACGGTGACATGTCAGCAGTACAGTGGTTTATAACACAGTGTACTTACTAGACACGGTGACATGTCAGCAGTATAGTGGTTTATAACACAGTGTACTTACTAGACACGGTGACATGTCAGCAGTACAGTGGTTTATAACACGGTGTACTTACTAGACACAGTGACATGTCAGCAGTACAGTGGTTTATAACACGGTGTACTTACTAGACACGGTGACATGTCAGCAGTACAGTGGTTTATAACACGGTGTACTTACTAGACACGGTGACATGTCAACAGTACAGTGGTTTATAACACGGTGCACTTACTAGACACGGTGACATGTCAGCAGTACAGTGGTTTATAACACGGTGTACTTACTAGACACGGTGACATGTCAGCAGTACAGTGGTTTATAACACGGTGTAACTTACTAGACACGGTGACATGTCAGCAGTACAGTGGTTTATAACACGTAATTTTTTGACAGACCCGTGACATGTCAGCAGTACAGTGGTTTATAACACGGTGTACTTTACTAGACACGGTGACATGTCAACAGTACAGTGGTTTATAACACGGTGTACTTACTAGACACGGTGACATGTCAGCAGTACAGTGGTTTATAACACGGTAATTTACTTAGACACGGTGACATGTCAGCAGTACAGTGGTTTATAACACGGTACTTACTTACTAGACACGGTGACATGTCAGCAGTACAGTGGTTTATAACACGGTGTACTTACTTAGACACGGTGACATGTCAGCAGTACAGTGGTTTATAACACGGTGTATTTTACTAGACACGGTGACATGTCAGCAGTACAGTGGTTTATAACATCGTGTACTTACTAGACACGGTGACATGTCAGCAGTACAGTGGTTTATAACACGTGAATTTACTTACTGAACACGGTGACATGTCAGCAGTACAGTGGTTTATAACACGGTGTACTTACTAGACACAGTGACATGTCAGCAGTACAGTGGTTTATAACACGGTGTACTTTACTAGACACAGTGACATGTCAGCAGTATAGTGGTTTATAACACGGTGTACTTACTAGACACAGTGACATGTCAAGCAGTATAGTGGTTTATAACACGGTGTACTTTCAGACACAGTGACATGTCAGCAGTACAGTGGTTTATAACACAGTGTACTTTTACTAGACACTGTGACATGTCAGCAGTACAGTGGTTTATAACACGGTGTACTTACTAGACACAGTGACATGTCAGCAGTACAGTGGTTTATAACACGGTGTAATTTACTTCAGGACACAGTGACATGTCAGCAGTACAGTGGTTTATAACACGGTATACTTACTAGACACGGTGACATGTCAGCAGTACAGTGGTTTATACAGTGGTTTATAGTGACATGTCAGCAGTACAGTGGTTTATACGGTGTACTTACTAGACACAGTGACATGTCAGCAGTACAGTGGTTTATAACACGGTGTACTTACTAGACACAGTGATGACATGTCAGCAGTACAGTGGTTTATAACACGGTGTACTTACTAGACACGGTGACATGTCAGCAGTACAGTGGTTTATAACACGGTGTACTTACTAGACACAGTGACATGTCAGCAGTACAGTGGTTTATAACACGGTGTACTTACTAGACACAGTGACATGTCAGCAGTACAGTGGTTTATAACACGTACAGTGGTTACTCGTTCAGACACTCGTGACATGTCAGCAGTACAGTGGTTTATAACACGGTGTAATTTACTCAGACACAGTGACATGTCAGCAGTACAGTGGTTTATAACACGGTAAAATTTACTGTGACATTACAGTACAGTGGTTTATAACTAGACTTACAGACACGGTGACATGTCAGCAGTACAGTGGTTTATGTGTACTTATAGACACACGGTGACATGTCAGCAGTACAGTGGTTTATAACACGGTGTAATTTACTAGACACAGTGACATGTCAGCAGTACAGTGGTTTATAACACGGTGTAATTTACTAGACACAGTGACATGTCAGCAGTACAGTGGTTTATAACACGGTGTACTTACTAGACACAGTGACATGTCAGCAGTACAGTGGTTTATAACACGTGTACTTACTAGACACGGTGACATGTCAGCAGTACAGTGGTTTATAACACGGTGTACTTACTAGACACTGTGACATGTCAGCAGTACAGTGGTTTATAACACGGTGTACTTACTAGACACACAGTGACATGTCAGCAGTACAGTGGTTTATAACACGGTGTACGGTGGTGACATGTCAGCAGTACAGTGGTTTATAACACGGTGTAATTTACTAGACACATGGTGACATGTCAGCAGTACAGTGGTTTATAACACGGTGTACTTACTCAGACACGGTGACATGTCAGCAGTACAGTGGTTTATAACACTGTACTTACTAGACACAGTGACATGTCAGCAGTACAGTGGTTTATAACACGGTGTACTTACTAGACACAGTGACATGTCAGCAGTACAGTGGTTTATAACACGGTGTACTTACTAGACACAGTGACATGTCAGCAGTACAGTGGTTTATAACACGGTGTACTTACTAGACACTGTGACATGTCAGCAGTATAGTGGTTTATAACACAGTGTACTTACTAGACACTGTGACATGTCAGCAGTACAGTGGTTTATAACACGGTGTACTTACTGACATGTGACATGTCAGCAGTACAGTGGTTTATAACACGGTGTACTTACTAGACACAGTGACATGTCAGCAGTACAGTGGTTTATAACACAGTGTACTTACTTTCTAGACACGGTGACATGTCAGCAGTACAGTGGTTTATAACACGGTGTACTTACTGACACTGTGACATGTCAGCAGTACAGTGGTTTATAACACGGTGTACTTACTAGACACAGTGACATGTCAGCAGTACAGTGGTTTATAACACGGTGTACTTACTAGACACTGTGACATGTCAGCAGTACAGTGGTTTATAACACGGTGTAATTTACTAGACACAGTGACATGTCAGCAGTACAGTGGTTTATAACACGGTGTACTTACTAGACACTGTGACATGTCAGCAGTACAGTGGTTTATAACACGGTGTACTTACTAGACACGGTGACATGTCAACAGTACAGTGGTTTATAACACGGTGTACTTACTAGACACTGTGACATGTCAGCAGTACAGTGGTTTATAACACGGTGTACTTACTAGACACTGTGACATGTCAGCAGTACAGTGGTTTATAACACGGTGTACTTACTAGACACAGTGACATGTCAGCAGTACAGTGGTTTATAACACGGTGTACTTACTAGACACAGTGACATGTCAACAGTACAGTGGTTTATAACACGGTGTACTTACTAGACACAGTGACATGTCAGCAGTACAGTGGTTTATAACACGGTGTACTTACTAGACACGGTGACATGTCAGCAGTACAGTGGTTTATAACACGGTGTACTTACTACTAGACACGGTGACATGTCAGCAGTACAGTGGTTTATAACACGTGGGTGTACTTACTAGACACAGTGACATGTCAGCAGTACAGTGGTTTATAACACGGTGCACTTACTAGACACTGTGACATGTCAGCAGTACAGTGGTTTATAACACGGTGTACTTACTAGACACGGTGACATGTCAGCAGTACAGTGGTTTATAACACGGTGCACTTACTAGACACGGTGACATGTCAGCAGTACAGTGGTTTATAACACGGTGTACTTTACTAGACACGGTGACATGTCAGCAGTACAGTGGTTTATAACACGTGTACTTACTAGACACAGTGACATGTCAGCAGTACAGTGGTTTATAACACGGTGCACTTACTGAACACTGTGACATGTCAGCAGTACAGTGGTTTATAACACGGTGCACTTACTGAACACTGTGACATGTCAGCAGTACAGTGGTTTATAACAGCAGTGCACTTACTGAACACGTGTACTAGACACTGTGACATGTCAGCAGTACAGTGGTTTATAACACGGTGTACTTACTAGACACAGTGACATGTCAACAGTACAGTGGTTTATAAACGGTGTACTTACTAGACACGGTGACATGTCAGCAGTACAGTGGTTTATAACACCGTGTACTTACTGAGACACAGTGACATGTCAGCAGTACAGTGGTTTATAACACGGTGTAACTTACTGAGACACGGTGACATGTCAGCAGTACAGTGGTTTATAACCACGGTGTACTTACTAGACACGGTGACATGTCAGCAGTACAGTGGTTTATAACACGGTGTACTTACTAGACACGGTGACATGTCAGCAGTACAGTGGTTTATAACACGGTGTACTTACTAGACACGGTGACATGTCAGCAGTACAGTGGTTTATAACACGGTGTACTTACTAGACACGGTGACATGTCAGCAGTACAGTGGTTTATAACACGGTGTACTTACTAGACACAGTGACATGTCAGCAGTACAGTGGTTTATAACACGGTGTACTTACTAGACACAGTGACATGTCAGCAGTACAGTGGTTTATAACACGGTGTACTTACTAGACACAGTGACATGTCAGCAGTACAGTGGTTTATAACACGGTGTACTTACTAGACACTGTGACATGTCAGCAGTACAGTGGTTTATAACACGGTGTACTTACTAGACACGGTGACATGTCAGCAGTACAGTGGTTTATAACACGGTGTACTTACTAGACACTGTGACATGTCAGCAGTACAGTGGTTTATAACACGGTGCACTTACTAGACACGGTGACATGTCAGCAGTACAGTGGTTTATAACACGGTGTACTTACTAGACACGGTGACATGTCAACAGTACAGTGGTTTATAACACGGTGTACTTACTAGACACAGTGACATGTCAGCAGTACAGTGGTTTATAACACGGTGTACTTACTAGACACTGTGACATGTATACAGTACAGTGGTTTATAACACGGTGTACTTACTGTAGCAAGGAGCGGGAATCGATATTACCATCTCTTCGTTGAGAACTGATTGTGTACAGCCAGGTGTAAGTTTTCCTACTTTCGCTTTCGGTCTTCCTGTTCCGTCGTACAGGCAGGCTGTTTATTTCCTTCCATCTTCCGATGCACTGGTGGCCACTAACTAACATCTTATTCTAGTGGTTACTTTTGCCACGGGAGATGATTTTCACGATACACCATTTGTTTCCCCCATATATACTATAAAACTAACGCTATAAAACATTTACAAATATGCTTCAAAGCCGATTACATTTATGTGTATATTGGCGAATGTTAGTGGGACTGTCATGACATGTAGGAGAAAAACAGTTCTCCCAGAATGCCCAACAAAAAATACAGTTGGACCAGCCGTGCGTCGCACAGCTCTTTTTTTAGTCACCTTTCCTAACACGATACAATACCAAAATCTCTATTAGCGCGAACATTAACAACACACATAGCTAAAAGCCACCGGTTACCATTCAATGTATATACCTTTGTATTTGTGCGTGCGTCCGTGCGTGGTAGATACTGAGAAAGTGTAATCCCAAATATAAAACATATGTTGCATTTGAGAACATTCCAAATGGCATTGTGTATTCGTATCTTTTAACCTGTGAAGGTCCGGGTTAGAAATGATCTTCAGTAACCCATGCTTGTCGTAAGAGGCGACTGACGGGATCGGGTGGTCAGGCTCGCTGACTTGGTTGACACATGTCATCGGTTCCCAATTGCGCAGATCTATGCTCATGCAGTTGATCACTGGATTGTCTAGTCCAGACTCGATTATTTACAGAACGCCGCCATATAGCTGGAATATTGCTGCGTGCGGCGTAAAACTAAACTCACTCACTCGTATCTTTTAAATAACGGTCGATGGCACGAAAAAAAACGTTTGAGAAAAAGGTATGGAAGTGGCTGTGTTCCCTCACTACCTCCTCTACTGGAGGGTTTACAGTAGCCCTCCCCTTAATACACTGTCAGCGATAACAATTAAGCGAACATATATATGCGATATATATAAAATGTTATTTATATTTTTTTGTATTTAATACTTTATTGCTGAATCCCTGTTACAGGCGGGGACAAGGAGCCAGAGAATTCCTTGCCGTCTTGGGGGAAAAAAACGTAATGAAGGATTCAGAGTTTTTGAAAAAGATACAACTGTCACACACACAGGCATACCGAAAGAACACAGTCCTCCTTATCATGGGGCTGTGCCCTGGCTGCGTCCTCTTTTCCAAAGGAGCACCTTGCATCCGTTTGGCGAAATGGTCACGGAGGAGGGAGGGGCACAGCGCTCAAATACAAGACATGATTCCTGTGTGCCTAGGGAGGTCTTCTTGCTATCCCTTGCCTCGGAATTCTTCGGGCAGTCCCTAGCCCTCCTGGTGGGCATCCAGTCCACCGCACCCCAAGGTGACAATGGCGTCCCGGTTAAGTAAAGGTGAAGAATATTTCTCATCATTGACGCTTAATCGCCGAGTATAATTCGGAAACCATATATATGCTAGGCCGTGAATAACAAGTTATTTCAATACTCTACCAACATATGGTCCCAGTCGGCCAGAACACGCCAGAATGTACCAGGGTTTCTGAGTCTGAAAGAAATGAGTCGTGGATAAGCATGATAAAAATACTGCGAGTAGCAATGTGTCAGCAATATCATGGCGTGGAACTAACTTCAGAAAAGGGCGTCACGCATAGTACCCATATCGGGAATCGGACGCGGATCCTAAGCAAGACGGGCCAACACTTAACCACAAGGCTGCACCACTGCCCCGTTTACACGTGGGAAATAGTGCCGTCATATACTGAGAGGCAATATTGCTGAGTGATGCATTAAACAAAAAAAGATCGGCACCTGTGGCTTCTTGTGTCCTGGTATTGATATACTACGCCTTATATTCTATATATACATTCACCTCTATACAGTTGATTGATTGAAACATATTTTATTCAATTAAGAAACGGATTGGGCACAAGTTATTCAACTTAAATAAGCCCTCTCCACATAGTTACAAGTGTATATTACAAAAAAGTTCAACAAGAGGCAGACAAAGGGTATAGATATATGTACAGACAGAGTTATTTAAATCGTTTAGTGTTATGGATGTAGATATGTACACTTTTAAAAACATTCTGCGAGAGACCTGCATTGCCATTTAAGATGAGATTAATATCAACACATGCTCTATTATTCACTGTATTTTCTAAAGAGGTTAACATTTGTTCTCTTTGAATTATATATAATGGACATTCAAGAAAATAATGAAAAGCATTTTCACAATTATGGCCACACTGACAAAGTGCATAATTTCTAACATTAATTCTGAATAAATCATAATTAAGTGTACTTGTCATATATCTTAATCTTGTATGCAAAACATTAGTTTCCTTTTCCAATATGAGAAATATACGGGTGCACATTTTTGTCACACATGAACTGCAGTTTTAAAAGACACAACAGATTTACAGTTTCTGATAGCTAAGGGGATGTTATTCCACAGTTTAATTGTTGATGGAAAAAAGGATAGAGTCGAATATCGTAGTCTTGTACAGGGTTGAGTGTAATTACTGGAGTTTCTTAATTCATAATTTGTTCGACTACCTACTACAGGAGGGAGTAAATCATAAAGAAAACTTGGAGCTAGGCCTGTATGTATCTTATAAAATAACGATAATTTTTTCACCCTTCTTTCTCTCAGATAGTAAATCCCATCCCGTTTCAAAGTATAATGATCTAGAAGAAGCATATCTCTGCAGACCAGTAACTGTACGAGCCGCTTCAAGTTGTAACTTTTCTAATCTATTAGATTCTTCAATAGAACACCCGTCCCATACTTCAGATGCGTACTCGAAATGTGGTCTTATGAATACAGTATATATGTTTGACAATGTTGTTCTATTCAGGAGAAACTTTAACTTTCGAAATGCTCCAGTCATTTAGAAGTCTTTTTAACAATACTTTCAATGTGATGGTGCCAACCCCCATTACATGAAAATGTTAGTCCCAAATGTTTATGAAAGTCAACTGGTTTTACATGACAATTGTCAAATTTCAAATTAATGTCTGTTTGGACATCTTTCGTCGTAAATAGCATAGCTTCCGTTTTGTCCGGATTATAAGAAATTAGCCAGTCTTTTGCCCAATTACATAATATTTCTATACAGTTTTAATGTGAAAACAGATTAGCACAGTACAAAAGTACAGTGCTCACAAACAAGTATTTATACAATGTGCACCCACATGAGCGAACTATTGTTGGGCTTATTGTGCGTATATAGTATGGCATCCAGTGAAGAAGGGACGAGCTTGGTGAAAAAGTACATAATCATTTACAAATTCTGGTGTTTCCCATTTTGTCATTGTTTAAAATGACATTAAAATGGTTTAATGTTTTGCAAAATATGCTGTAACTGTAAATATGCAATATTTCTACACCCATTTTCTTCCAGATCTTCCTCTCATTCAGCAAAAACAAATGTGAAAACTGGGAATTACCGTGGTGTTATTGGCCAAGGAACAATATTACACTTCACGCATGGATCAACAATTATGACTTTGAGTCAAAGTACGCGGTTATGATTGTGTACAACATATGTTCTTTTCAAGTCATGATAGAGGTAATCTGATTGTGGTTGCTGTAAATATAGAACATGCCAATTAATTCACACAAGGGAAAGATTCCGCCCGTAACCCCCGTATTTTTTAAACCATTCTATGCCTAAGAATATTGGCCTATGGTTTTTATAAAAAGCCTAAACCTAAGCCTAACCCTAAACCTAACCCTAACCTTAAATCTTAACCCTAAACCCTCGAAATAATCCAAATAAATAGAAAACATTTCAAGCGGGAGTTACCGGCAAAACTCTTACAGTGAAGACCCTTGTCAGCAGCTAGGGTAATAAAAGAACTAACTTGCGATACACCAATCTCAACATGGCTGTAAACTTTGGTTTAAATATGGTTGCTCCCAAATGTAACAACTGGTTGAGAAGGGAAGATTACGATTCTGACGAGGTTCAACCACACACTTACAACAAAGAGTGCTGCTGGAAAAAACAACTTACCAGACAACTTACACAACATAATCCCAGTCCCTGAAGCCGAAACAAAGGAAGAAAAATAACTGAAAGCACCTCAGTGACAGGCCTTTACACAAAGAATGGTTCGCGATTTATCATAAGCCGAGGAAGATCTGATAGTAATTTCCTTTAGATTAATTACTGGTTTGCTTATGAATGTTGTAAAGGAAATATGTGTGGTTATCTACACGCCTTAGGCAAAACAGATAGAGTTCAGGCGGACCGCTGCCCATCTGTGTGTTTGGAAACGAACATGCCGACCAAAAGCGTAATCTGAAAAAAACAACCAATGACACAAACAAATCAAATCAAACAAATACCAACCAAACCACCCCTTAGTTCAGCTCCCCATACCACTTCTTGCAAATTTCCAAATAATTATGCAACCCTAACACCTCCCTCAGGTAGCCATACTTTTCGGTCAATCACCATCTTTCGATCAAACACTAAATGGCCTGGAAGGCCCCAGTGCGAAACACGCACGTAAAATCTAGAAATCATCATCAAGATCGATTCTGAAGATTATTTACAGCACGTACTTGTAATACATCGCAACTGATGTATGTATGTATGTATGTATGTATGTATGTATGTATGTATGTATGTATGTATGTATGTATGTATGTATGTATGTATGTATGTATGTATGTATGTATGTATCTGCATGGTACTCTCTCTCTCTCTCTCTCTCTGTGTGACAGAACACCATCTACATAACACCATGAGAAATATCTACATAGCACCATGAGCAATATCCGCATAGCACCATGAGAAATATCTACATAGCACCATGAGCAATATCTACATAGCACCATAGCACGATGAGCAATATCCGCATAGCACCATGAGAAAATATAGCACCATGAGAAACATCTACATACATAGCACCATAGCAGTAATCTACATAGCACCCGCATAGCACCATGAGAAATATCTACATAGCACCATGAGCAATATCCGCATAGCACCATGAGCAATATCCGCATAGCACCATGAGTAATATCCGCATTGTGCCATGGGAAATATCTACATAGCACCATGAGCAATATCCGCATAGCACCATGAGTAATATCCGCATTGTGCCATGGGAAATATCTACATAGCACCATGAGCAATATCCGCATAGCACCATGAGCAATATCGCATAGCACCATGGGAAACATCTACATAGCACCATGAGAAATATCTACATAGCACCATGAGAAATATCTACATAGCACCATGAGCAATATCTACATAGCACCATGGGAAACATCTACATAGCACCATGGGAAATATCTACATAGCACCATGAGCAATATCTACATAGCACCATGAGTAATATCCGCATAGCACCATGGGAAATATCTACATAGCACCATGAGAAATATCTACATAGCACCATGAGCAATATCCGCATAGCACCATGAGCAATATCTACATAGCACCATGAGCAATATCCGCATAGCACCATGAGTAATATCCGCATTGTGCCATGGGAAATATCTACATAGCACCATGAGAAATATCCGCATAGCACCATGAGAAATATCCGCATAGCACCATGAGTAATATCCGCATTGTGCCATGGGAAATATCTACATAGCACCATGAGCAATATCCGCATAGCACCATGAGTAATATCCGCATTGTGCCATGGGAAATATCTACATAGCACCATGAGCAATATCCGCATAGCACCATGAGCAATATCTACATAGCACCATGGGAAACATGGGAACATATCTACATAGCACCATGGGAAACATCTACATAGCACCATGGGAAATATCTACATAGCACCATGAGCAATATCTACATAGCACCATGAGCAATATCCGCAAGCATCTACATAGCACCATGGGAAATATCTACATAGCACCATGAGCAATATCCGCACCATAGCATCCATAGCAGAAATATCTACATAGCACCATGAGCAATATCCGCATAGCACCATGAGCAATATCCGCATAGTGCCATGAGAAACATCTACATAGCACCATGAGAAATATCTACATAGCACCATGAAATATCCGCATAGCACCAGAAACATCTACATAACACCATGAGAAATATCTACATAGCACCATAGCACCATGCAATATCTACATAGCACCATGAGAAATATCTACATAGCACCATGAGAAATATCTACATAGCACCATGAGAAATATCTACATAGCACCATGAGAAATATCTACATAGCACCATGAGAAATATCTACATAGCACCATGAGAAACATCTACATAGCACCATGAGAAATATCTACATAGCACCATGAGCAATATCCGCATAGCACCATGAGAAATATCTACATAGCACCATGAGAAATATCTACATAGCACCATGAGCAATATCTACATAGCACCATGAGAAATATCTACATAGCACCATGAGAAACATCTACATAACACCATGAGAAATATCTACATAGCACCATGAGCAATATCCGCATAGCACCATGAGAAATATCTACATAGCACCATGAGCAATATCTACATAGCACGATGAGCAATATCTACATAGCACCATGAGCAATATCTACATAGCACCATGAGTAATATCCGCATAGCACCATGAGAAATATCTACATAGCACCATGAGCAATATCCGCATAGCACCATGAGCAATATCCGCATAGCACCATGAGCAATATCCGCATTGTGCCATGGGAAATATCTACATAGCACCATGAGAAATATCCGCATAGTAAAATGAGAATTATCTACATAGGACCATAAGAAATATCTGCACTCACTCACTCTTAAGACTGCATAAAGTGGACATGATAAGCGCATGGTTGTCTGACATCTTAAACTGAACATTTCATGCTAGGATTTCTTTTACTAGTAACCCTTTCTTCTCAGAAGTGGGGTGGGGGTAAACCCCTCGGAGGACAACAACTAAGGGAGGATACTCAGGCTATGCGTTAAAACGGAAGATATTCTTTCCAGACCTTTGGATCAAGGAATGAAGTTTGTCCTGAAGTTTCGTGGGACGGTGGCGTGCAGTTGAAAATCAAATATTTTTTGGGTCAGTATCAAACTTGGTCCTTTTCTTAACGTGCAAAATACCCTCGGTTGAAGGATATTCTTTGAAGCGAAAATTAGGTGATACATTTGCTGGACTCATTCAATGTCTTTAGAGTCAAGCCTAAAGCTGATACCGTGTGACGGATAAACACCGATCACAGTAGTAAATGAGTTTTTGTAACCTGAACTATAGTTCCGTTCTTTATTGTTGAAACTTCCGCCTACCCTGGAAGTTACTATCCAGCGAGTCAGCGACAGGAACACGAGCACACAACCTACAGTAATTGTGTGATAGAGAGACACATTGACACTTCTCACAGATTGTACATCTCTCATCACCTCCCCCATCTGGATCAAGCAGAGTCTACATCAATGTAGGCCGAAGAAGCAGTTCAAAACCACAAAATTTAATTTCTCAGGTTTTAAACAACCTCCATATACCCTTTCACTTCAGAGAATTGACTGCAGGCTTAGACCGTTCAACTACTCATAATAGCAATATTCAGCCACTACGCGGATATTGGAATCAATTGTTCTTCAGCCACGGACTGTGACTTTCCACATGATGGGCTTCTCAAAATAACACATGTTTAGCGTTTTCTCTTCAGTGTGAACTATCCTTTCAAAATCAAGTCAAGTTCTTTTAACCGGTTGCTACTTGATTATATAATAGATGAATTTAAAGTAAACTCCTTTGACAATAAACGAAATACATACGATGCAAGTTGGCCCTAAAAAGAAATTTACTAATCTATTTCACCGTTTGCCATAGTCTGTCATACAGACCCTGAAACAAATATACCCAATGCAGCCCATGCAAGTCTAGAATTTGTGGCAAGTCTAGATTACTGCATAGAACAAGTATATGAATGACAACTTCTTTTATTCTAGAGCACGATGTTTCGATACATGTTCTTGTATCGTTTTCAAGTCATTCATACTTGAAAACGACACAAGAACCTGTATCGAAACGTCGTGCTCTAGAATAAAAGAAGTTGTCATCCATATATACTTGTTCTATCTGACTTCCAACTTCTAAATATGCCACTCAAAGTAGTAGATTACTGCAGTTTGAACAGTCTCTGGGCTCCTTTTTATTGTATTTATGGTTTTAATTTAAAACCTTTTGATTTTCTGTAAAATATGTTCATTACAGTGACTAGCTGTTAGTCTATGTTTGCCAATGAACATCTCAATAAAACTCAACTTTTGTGGTGCTGAAAACGTATTTCCACATTAAATTTTGTGAAACACTTGCCCTACATTTTATGCAGAAGCTTGTTTATATCACGTGACGCGTAGTTTGATTTCTATTGGTCAGCTCAAACACTGTGGGAAATTCAATGTCGAAGGCCGAAGGTAGGCAATCGGAAATGCCACAACATATGATTAGAACTGGTTTATTGAGACTATTAACCTTGTATTTAGTTAATCAGGACTTCATGGTAAATCTTACAATGATTTTGGTTTGATGCAAATGAACTTCATGTGCAATTATAACATTTGAATCGGCCTCCGAATATTGATATTCATGACGATCGACGGCTATTTCAAGAAGTGTGTTTTAGCGACAGAGTTGAATGAATTTTGGATGTTTTATGAATTATTCTACCGATTAGTTATTATTTGAAAGAGTTTAAAGATGTAACGTTCCACCGATCCCTGAATGCTGTACACATATGGATGCATAACAATTCGTCGTGTCGTTTGGACAGGGTGGCTATTTCAAAGGGAAGTAATCAGCTGGTAAGAAGTATCTGGTAGGTTCTTCAGAAGCCCACAAGAAACGAACCTATGTATAGGCTTCGTCCCAAAATATTGTATTAATCATATGGAAACAACAAATCCTATCTTACCACGATCACAGGAATATAAACGATATATGTTTTGATGTAGATCTCCTGCCATCGGTCAAGTTGCCGAGATACTCAGGAGCTGCTAGTGTCAGAGCTTATAATGCTGATTGATGACATTAGCATAGTGAAGTGTGTTTTGTAATGGATACTAAGTGTAAGGCAATCTTTACCATTCTTTTCAGGTTCAGGTCATAATGTCATCAACAAAAAGTAAAAGTGCTAGAGCAATGAAAACAGCTCAGAAGTCTGACAAGGAAAATTGCCAACCCATCAATGGAAGGAAAAGGTAGTTGTTGTGTTTTTGTACCACAGGCATTTGGCGTTCCTGAAGGTTTTATTACCTCTTCCTAAATTTGTGTTATAGTCTTCATTGTCATTGGTACTGTGTACATGTAGAGATCCACACATGCATTATTGCTAATACTTCATGGTTTGTGTGTGCACTGTGGCTGAAGGGGTCGTTGTTGGTATGGGTACTACAGATATGTACCCTAGTCAAAATCAGAAAACTGAAACATACCCCAGCATGTGATGCATTGGATTGTGTTATAGAATAATGCAAACACAATTTAACAATGCACAGTATCACTCGAGTAATCAGGCGAATGGGAACTATAGCATGCATTAGTTTCAGTTTTGAAATGAGGAATATGTACTCATCTGCAGTTTATGGTACTAGGTACGTTTATGTCTCTTAACTTTGTTTAGGGTACATTTCTGTATACAGAAACAAACTGGGGTACATATCTGTAGTACCCGTGCAGATAATGAGTCAGTCAGCTGCTCTATGATCCTCCATCAAGCATCAGTACTCTTAGTTCCTATGCAGTGTAGAGGTGATGTGTCTTTCCTTAGTTAGCTAATGAAATGATGCCATGTATAAATCACTTATGTCAAATTAGCCCTACTCTGTCATTGTCTGACATGGAAGCAATGAGTTAAGCATTAATACTTGCTGGTTCCACTCTCGTTGGAACCTGACTGACGTATCAGCATGATCAGTCCGATGTTTTCGCAGATAATGTGTACATATACATAATGAAGTATTGGCATGAAACATAAATTATACAAGTTCATGAATTTGTCCTTATTTTCTTCTTGTTTATAGAGAATGTATATCAACTATCATGACTGCCGCAGAACATTTCAACAACTTATTTATACTGAGTCACTAATGATTGTGGACATGTGTATTTAATATCTTTATTTTGAATAATGTTCAACAACACATACTTTCAGCAAACTTCCTGTACCAGCTGAAAATGTTGCTGAGAAGAAGACTAGGACTCGGGCTAAACCAGCTCCAAACTTTAATAAGTTGCATTCCCAGTGGACTAGCAAGCTGCAGATTGGGAAAGCGTGTCGGAAGAAACCATGTACTGTGGTAGGTCTTGACTGTAGTATTATGTTGCGGTTTGGTACATCTCTTTATATAAGATAGAAGATGCAGGATACTATACATTATTAAAATGACACTAGCTATCAAATGAACAGAAACCTACCAAAAACCTGTTTAGTACATTATATGAGTCAACTGAACAACACTTGCTTGGTAACTATATACCATCTGTGCATTCCAAGTTTTAGTTGCATTTACAATTCATTTTCATCTTTGTGTTCATGTCCTTACATGTAGAACCATGTCTTCCCAACCCAATAACCTGTGAAGACCCAGGTTAGAATTGGTTTCAGCAACCCATGCTTGTGGCAAGAGGCAACTAACGGGATCGGGAGGTCAGGCTTACTGACTTGGTTGACACATGTCATCGTATCCCAAATGTGTAGATCAATGCTCGTGCTGTTGATCACTGGATTATCTGGTCGAGACTAGATTATTTACAGACCACCGCCATATAGCTGGAATATTGCTGAGTGTGACGTTAAACAACAACCAAACCTAACCAAACCCTATACTGTTGTGGTATGAAGTTTATATTCACATACCTTTGCTGAAAGTGTATTGTGATGCCCATTATTGATGGCTGATGATCACCACCAATTTATCTCCCCCTACTTCTATTTCCAGTCCACAGCCAATCAGTCATCAGGCCATGTAATGACGTATTGTAAACTTATTTTGCTCACTGTCGTGTGTTGTTTATGCAGTCTCAAGAATTCAACTTGACAAGACCAGGATCAAAGGCCCAGGTTAAAGCTGAGGAGGTGACCCCAGTGAAAGGCCTTGATGTTCAAGCAGGGGGCCGACAGTGTTTCACACCAGATGCCAAGTCAATGAAGGACTTGGAACTAAACAGAGAGCTGTCTCCTTCTCAGCAGTCTGGCCGGGCGACCATTGCTACATCCAGGTATGTACCACAGACATTTTGTTGGGACAGTTTGGTCACCTCATAGTTGCATAGGAGGAGACCCGTGAAGATCTGGGCTGGAATTGGTCTTCAGCAACCCATGCTTGTCGTAAGATGTGACTAATGGGATTGGGTGGTCAGACTCGCCGACTTGATTGACACACATCATCGTATCACAGTTGCTGAATAGATACTCATGACATTGATTACTGGATTGTCTGGTTCAGATTCGGTTATTTTCAGACCGCTGCTATAGAGCTGGAATATTGCTGAGTGCGGCTGGAATATTGCTGAGTGCGGCTTTAAACAACAAACAAAGCATAGGAGGAAAACAACTTTGATATCCCTGGTTCTCTAAAACCCATTAAACCTGACCAACTAACATCTGACTTGAATGACCAACTAAACCTGAAAGATTATCATTTGTTTTAGATGATGAATGTTTGAAGTCCATCATTAGTGTTATTTTAAATTTCATTTCCCACTGAAGACAGTTTATCTGAAATTTCTTGCAGGTTGGCGATTAATTTCTCTGTGATGTGTAGGAACTATTTCTGATATTCAACCAGTTGACAGTTCATTTTGGATTAGTGGTTTATTTAATATGGAGAGAGTGACAAGTCAACTGGATTGCTTACATGGGGCAAGGGTACAGTTAGGTGCGAGTTTTGTCTGTTCTTGGCGACCACAGCACAGGAATTCAACAACATTTCTGGGGACACATTTGTGAAGAAATTAGCAATTGGTATGAGTCAGGATAAGTATAGAAACAAATCATAAGAGCAAACAACCGGTTTCTGTTTATGCACTAGTCCTATGATGTAGTGGCTATCTCAAATGATGTATGGTCACCTCTTCATATCATTATTAGATTGACATCTGATCTGGAGAAAGGAATTCTACAAGAATCACAGAGTGACCACCCCATAGACAGACACCGACCTCCAGCCAAAAGGAGTAAGCCCAATGCCACCATGTCTCTTGCTGACCAACAGAAGCAAGCAGGTGAAACAAATTGTTAATCCCTTCCTTCATTGTTTTGGTCTGGCTGTACAACTTAGTTACACTCATACAAACTGTATCCTTCTGAAATAGGGGATGTCTTGTGACATGGTGAGATGCTTTGTTGGTATGAAGTAATGACATTCAAATATGGTTTACCTATAATAATCTTGAATGGGTTAGAATTGATCTTCAATAACCCATATTTGTCATGAGAGGCGACTAATGGGCTGGGGTGGTGAGGCTCACTGACTTGGTTGACACATGTCATCGTATCCCAATTGCATAGATCAATGCTCATGTTGTTGATTACTGGATTGTCTTGTCTAGACTTGACTATTAAGAGACCGCCACCAGATAGCTGGAATATTGCTGAGTGCAGCATAAAACTAAACTCACTCACTGACTCACTAATCATGCTAATAATCTCGAATGTTGTTGAGAAGTTAATGTCTCAACAGACCTTTGTTGGATCAGCACTGAGTCTTGGCTTGAAGCTACTACTAATTCCTTTAGATCTACATGTAATTACTTTCATATGATATTATATATATCAACGTGCATTACACTGTACAGGGTGTACTACCGTGTAGTATGTTCAGTAGACAGTGGTAAACATGGCAGATAGTACCCAATAAGGGATTTAGGAGAAATATTTCAATTCCGGATAGACAATTTTGTTAATCCACATCAAATTTGACTTTGTGCATAAATCCCTACCAGGTTATGTAGATTTGCTACTTGTAGTTTCTTTATGCCCCATAACTTGATAGTACATACAATAGGTAACTGTTACCACACAATAAAACACTATGGGGAAGAATAAACCACTATGCTGACCCCCTGTGGCTTATTCTCTCTGCAGTGTTTTGTTATTATATATGCAACACATCCTCATCCTATTTTCTTACATATGTGCATGGAGTGAATGGATACAACAATGATCTATGTGTTCTTTCAGATTTGCCATTCAAGACTGACAAGTCAGCGCTCAGTAGCATCTTAACCAATTCTGGAATAGAAAATCGTCCATCTGTGGTCACTCCAAATAAACAGGTATGTAGCTTTCATCCTAAAGGCATATCAGTGATAGGTTAGACTGCCACTCGTCCACCTTGCTATTTGCTTTAAGAACTCCCTGTCATGAATTTTATGGTTGAAAGGCTGATACCGTTAGTGTATTTTAGCTTAAGAAAAATGACAGAATCCAAACTTAAGATACCAGCACTTAGAACTTTGTTTCTAAGCAAGCTTAGGACTTTCTGAATGAACAGTCAACTTGTAGAAAGCACAATGTGTTTTAGACATAGGAAGAACAAGAGACAGACTGATATTCTTGTGGGGGTGCAGGAATTTTAAAGCCATTTATTTTGTTCCAGAAAACAATTGAAATTTTGTGTTTGCTTCTGTTTACAAACAGTTTTAACAATGTTCTCTGGGCATTCTTATTAGGCTCTCAGAAAGAATAATTGTTTGGAAGGAACGACTTAAAAGGCAGCTTGTAGTTGTTTTCATTGTATAACAGACTAGTTTGGACATGGTGCCTTGAATACACTCTGTCTGTTGTACTTCCACCAGCTTGATCCACCTGTATTACTCTTACTGGTAGTCATGTCGTGTTTTTCACTTTCCAGTGTCAGAGAGTATCAATCTACTATCAGGCTCAGAACAGGGTCTCACTGTTTGACAACTGTGTCAAGAAACGTAAGTGAAATACTCTCTTCCCATTAATGTATTTATGATGATCAGCTTGCTCTGTCTCACATTCACTTTGGGGGCGGTTGGGTAGCCAAGTGGTTAAAGGCCCGGGTTCGATTCCCCACATGGGTACAATGTGTGAAGCCTGTTTCTTCTGGTGTCTCAGGACTGCCATGATATTGCTGAACATTGCTCGCTTGCTCCCTCCCTCCTCCCTCCCTCCCTCCCTCACTCCTCACTCCTCACCTCACTCACTCACTCACTCACTCACTCACTCACTCACTCACTCACTCGTGGAAAGCATCTGTTTACAATATCCCTTTGTCGTTATATATAGAAAATAGCATCGCAAAGTTAGCTGAAAAACAGAAAACATCTGTATAAAACTAATCAGTAATTTAGAAACATCGTCAGGTGGTACAGTTTCCATCTGTGACCATGTGTTGGCATCAGTTGTACTACAAGGAAATGGCTTGAATGTTTCAGGACTGATGACTGTTCCTAGTACTGTGGAGAAGGTGACGGAGGCTGACAGAATCTGTATAACGGAATCCCCCTATGTGAAGGGAGCTAGAGTTAAGCCTGTACGAAACTCGGTATATCCTGAGTATGTCCGGAGAACCTTCCTCACTCCCTCCACCCCCAAGGGAGACACTGACGGTCCCATCTCAGCAGTCTCAGCCAGCACGGTCAGTAGACAGGTGCCCCTTGGGAACGTGGGTCACAATATGTCAGAAGTGCTGTTTCGTTTCAGAGGCGTACAAATATACTTTGTTATCAGGAACGGTGAAAGGATGCTGACTACAGTCAAATAACTTCATCCATTCACTAATGATTGTAACAGTTATTGCATTATGATTGTTTCATTTGTAGGGATACCAGGTAGGACTGGGCCAGTTTGTGACATGCTGTGTCATCGAAGCCACTATTTCTATGGTCAATAGTAGTTTATTTTCAGTCAGTTGTATGGTTTGAAAATTACTCACATCAACATTAAACACTATTCACCTTGTGGCATGTTCAAGTGATTTCATCTGGTCAATCTATATACAGGTTGTTTCTGGAGGTGTTGGGGTTGGTTAGTAGTAAAAGCATTGGCTTGTCACACACAAGATCTGGGTTCAGTTTCCAATATAGGTATAATGTACAAACATATTGTCGGTGTTTCTTGTTGTGAAGTGACTGAAATATTACTGGAAGTGTTGTAAGTCGTGCTCATTCACTGCAGTTCATAATTTGAGTTTGAAGCTGTAAGCTTAGAATAGCTGAGTGAATTTTTCCTGGGTGTGATTAACACAATTGAACATCTTCCCATGTAAAGTGAAATTACACATTGAGGACTGCTGTGGAAAGAATCTGTGAGTGAGTGAGTTTAGTTTTTTGCTGCACTCAGCAATATTCCAGCTACTAGTATATGGCAGTGGTCTGTAAATAATCGAGTCTGGGCCAGACAATCCAGTGATCAACAGCATGAGCATCGATCTACACAATTGGGATACGATGACATGTGTCAACCAAGCCAGCGAGTCTGGCCACCCGATCCCGTTAGTCACCTCTCATGACAAGCATGGGTTGGTAAAAACCAATTCTAACCTGGATCTTCACAGGTTGGAAAGATTAACTGCTGTCATGAGTCACATTTCTTTGTTGAGAGTTGTGGAACCTACTGCTTCCACAATTCATAGTGTAACTATATCATCTGAATTCCTGACTCCTTAACTGATGAAAGTCAAAGTAGAAATGCTGAAATACCCAATTTTAAAACTTATCCTATCTCACGACTTGCACCTCTCTCTCTTGCTTCGACTTTTAGTGGAACGACTGTAAACTTTTTTCCATAGGCCTCCTTGTCCATTCGCCCGTGCACTCCATGCTGCTCTCCTTAATTAGCTTCCTAGTTCCTAATAAAGCTTGCAGCATGCTCAACTAATTGCACACGTGACTACCTTGAATGATCATTCTCTTTCTTGTCGCACGTCTGTGTGGACGTGCTGTATATTAGGGACATTATTTCACCCTAACATCATGGGGAAAACAGATAATCAGTCATGGAAAATGAAAGTTTGTGCTCAATGCAAGACGAATTATTCGTCCCTCGACCCTCACTCGTCTTGCAGTGACTGTATTGGGCAAACTGGAACAAACGATGTGGCAAGTGTAATTCACTAAAAGATGAGGATTTTAAGGCCTACCTTCGTGTTTGCTCCCGGAGAATCGCCGATAGGGACAGGGAATCAACAGAATCTGATCCCACTCCCGCCAAGCGTATCAAGTTACAGCGACAGAAAATCGTACCTTCACGCAAGAGAGCGACGTCTGTGGTTCAAGAGGATTTTATTGACGCTTCATCAGATTCTTACTTATCTGAGGACGTTCGGCACCTATTACGTACGCATCAATCACCTCCTTCCATAGTGTCAGATCACTTGCGGGTGGTTGTGATCGATAATTCATCGTTGCCTGTCCCATCTACACTACCAGGGGACCTTAGATCGACACTGTCATCATCCAGATCATCGGTACATATCCCCTCGACTGTCTCAGTTTGTTTGGAGCCTGGCCTACTGCGTTCAACCAGCCAACTGTCCCCCCCACAGTTCATTGAACCGGACGGAGCTGGCTACAACAGCGTCGCCGGGGGACGTTCATCATGAATCAACACTTCAGGTTTTGTCACCTAATCGCCGATCCAGATCACCACATCATTCTAGATCACCACAACGATCTAGATCACCTTCACGATCCAGATCACCATCACAAACCCGATCTAGATCACCGTGCCGATCAAGATCACTGGATCGATCCAGATCACAGTCACGATCCAGAGCACAACTACGATCCACATCACCTGATCAATCCAGATCACCTAACCGATCCAGATCACCAAACGGGTCCAGATCAGAACTTCGAATCAGATCACCGGACCGATCCAGATCACCTAGCTGATCCAGATCACAACTTCGAAGTAGATCATCGGACCGATCCAGATCACCTAATCGATCCATATCACCGAATGGATCCAGATCACAACTTAGAATCAGATCACCAGACCGATCCAGATCACCGAATGGATCCAGCTCACAACCAATCAGATCAGAAGACTGATCTAGGCCAGATCACCGAACCGATCCAGATCACAACATCAAAGTAGATCACCTAACTGATCCAGATCACAAAATCAAGCCAGATCGCAACTTCAAACCAGATCAACTGTTCGATCCAGATCACCTTATAGATCCAGATCACGATCACAATTTCCAGTTAGTGCATCGAATCTTAGTACAGATCGACATATCATGGCCGAGCCTATTCAGATGGTCGAACCTGAGCTCCAATCAGAACCAGATCACCAACTAGAACTACAGCGACCTGGACTAGTTCTTCATATCATACCGGATCACCTAGCCATACTGGGGAATCCAGATCACCGGCTTACCAACCTACTTTGGTACTTACCACGTCGAGATCTCGATGCGGTTCCTCTGACCGACGTTCGGGTGATCATTGCTCTGATACCACTAAGAGGCCTACAGTCTCTTACGATGTTCCGTCTACACGCTCTTAGAATCCTTCGACTTACTCTAGGATCATCGCTGAGTCATGGGAACCTGATAACAATCCCACTCCTACAGCGACTCCGGATCTAAATATGATGATCAGGCCCATAACCTCAGCCTGGAACCAAATACAGCCTTCTACTCCATCACATCCGGCTTCGGTAGTTCCTGGCTCTTCATCTGGTCCACCTCCTGAGATTGATCCAGTCCAAATAGCCATGCCTAAATCTCCCCGCTCACTCTGAGTTATCTACTCCTAGGGGTAGCTTTGCAGCAGTTGAGACACCTCAGGTACTCCTTTGGATTGTTGAGAAGCTCCAACTTCCCTTGAGTACTTCAGCAGATGACCTGGATCACTCTTATACTCTTAGGAACCGGGATTTTGGTCTACCATCACCCTACCACCTCGACCTTGTATTCTGAAATTATCCAGTACACTAAATGATGGTTTCAAGAGCCTGAAACGAATTAAGGACGGATTCTCTGCTCCCAGATATAATCCTTCTACCTCTCATGTCCACGGCCTAACAAAAATCTCTACCGCTCCAACAGTTGATGAGGATATTGGAACCCTGTGTGGCAATTGAGCTGCTTTGCCCTACCTTATTGAGGACCGAGAGTTGGCTCACATGGATTCAGCCGTGAGAAAGACGTCGCCATCTATTAGTTGCGTGATTGCAGCAGTCGACGTTGTTAACACTGCTCTGGAGCATACTTACTCTGATCAAGACGCTTACATCCGAGGATGCATGACTATAGCTCTGGACCAGTTCCAAATTATCCTGGATCAGTTGTCTCATTTTTTGGGCTACACTCTTGCTGTGCCGACGTGGACCCCTTAACATCTCTTCATGGGAGTAGCGATTTAAAACAGAACTGTTTCGCCAGCCTTGGTTTATTGACTCCCTCTTCAATGGTAGCATCCAAGAAGTATCTAATAAAGTTGATAAAGAAACCCACTTTCAAGTCTCGATTGAACTGTTAAAGATACAGAAGTCACAGCTCCAGGACTCATTAAAGCAGCGTCGAACTGCACAGTTCACCCCTACCAATCCGGATTTACGCAATCTTTTTTGTGGCGCATCCACTCAAGGCCGTGGCAGAGGAAACAGATCTGGCCGTGGTGGTTCCTCCCGTCAACCCCCCCAGAACCAACTCTGGCCCAGGGACCAGCGCTGGGAAGCAGTGACGGCTTGAGACAATCGCACAACTGGGACCTTCCGCTCCAGTTGTTCCGATTTACAACACTCTGGTAGGCGGGAGATTACAGATCTTCGCCCCGAATTGGACCATCCTCAGAGATCCGTACGTCACCAACCTGCTACTTCACGGCTATCAACTACCCGTTATTGGCAGTCCACCTCTGATGTCGCATCCGGCTCATCGCTCATATCCTGTGGACCAGTTTCAGACTCTGCAATCCACAATAGGTACACTATTAGACAAACTCGCGATAGAGCTCCTAGGTCCATTGCCCGTCACTCCAGGATTCTACTCCCCCATCTTCTTGGTTCCAAAGAAAAATTCCAACAAACTTCGGCTCATCTTCAATATGAATTTGTTCAATGCCCGATTCCTGCTTCCACCGCCTCACTTCAGGATGGTGTCGATCAACCTTTTACGCACCATCCTGAAGAAGGGAGACTTCCTCATCAGCCTAGATCTTCAGGATGCTTATCTTCATGTTCCGATACATCCAGAACACCGGAAGTACCTTTGCTTCGTGTTCAACGGGAATCACTACCAATGGAAAGTCATACCATTTGGAATTTCCACGGCCCCGTGTCTTTTTACCCGAATTACCAAGCCCATAACGAGCTTCCTCCACTTTCAAGGGATCACCTTCGAAAGCTACATAGACGATTGCATCCAGGCTCAACAGAATCCGATCGTATTGCTTCGCCAGCTACAGTTCACCACCACGCTGCTCAGACAGTTAGGGTGGCTGTTGAACATTGCGAAATTGGAACTAATACCTACTCAGAAACTCCAATTCATCAGAGCACTGTTCAACACTCGTCAGGGGATGATGTTCATCCCTCACGACAGGTGGATAAAGATTCAGCGATACATTCCTCCAGCACTGTCTCAGGCAAGAACCTTAAGACAGTGGCAGGAGCTACTGGGCCTTAATACGTCAGCTCAAACCTTAACGTACAGAGGCCAGCTCCAACATTGGCCGATACAGCGATTTCTACGCCCGTACCTTCAGGCCCAAGGAACTAATTTGCCTTCCAGAACCGCTTCGTCCAATCCTTCAATGGTTGCTCAACGAACGGAATGTTTGCGCCGGAGTCTCTATGATGCCCTTTCCACCGACTCATCACCTGTTCGTCAATGCATCCCTCATGGGTTGGGGAGCTCACTTCCTCGACCACCAAGTGGCCGGGCTGTGGTCATTCGACGAACGGGTACTTCATATAAACGAGCTGGAATTCAAGGTGGTAATTCAAGCCATCTCACATTGGGCAACAGAGCTTCAATCAACCATTCTGTTGATCCAATCAGACAATTCGACAGTGGTTTGGTATATAAATCATCTAGGCTCGACAGGCTTGGCGAATCTGCTACAATGGGCGATCAGGTTCTTCCATCTCATCGACTCACTCAACATCGTAGCCAGAGCCAGACACATTCCCGGGGTAAAAAATGTGATCGCCGATGCCTTGTCCCGATCCAACCGCCCGTCCCGACAGAGTGGAAGTTACTGCCCCAGATCTTTCAGTCGATGATCTACCCGTTATCACGGTCTCAAATAGATCTGTTCGCCAAAGGTTTGTCAACCTAAGAAGCCTGGCAGAGCCAAACCCAGTACCGCTTCCAAACTGGGACGACCTACTTCTTCACCCTCACTCGGAACTGTGCCACTGGTCACCTCAGACCCTCAATCTACATGTTTGGCGCATCTTCAGAGGTCTCTCATAGCTAAGCCACAGCTATCATTTCAGCGCATCGTACTTTTCGACCTGTTCCTTGTACGACAACAAGTGGAAGAAATTTGAAGATTATTGCAAGGTTAGAGGAATTGCGTCTCCCACTTCCACCTCGGCTCAGGTCATTGCTGAGTTTCTCCAGCATCTCCGCACTACTAAGAAAATCCAGGGTACTACGTTAGCTACCTACTTAGCTGCCATCAACTCAGTTTTGGCTACCACCACGGGCAGGAAGATTTCCACTGTTCCCGAGTTGCAGAGTCTACTACGCTCCTATAGACTCTCTGACCAGTCCATCGTCACGATATGGCTGAAATATTGCCGATGTGACGTTAAATATTAACTCACTCACTCACTCTGACCAGTCCAGGAAGTTCAGACCTCCGGCCTGGGATCTGTCCGTCGTCCTTCGTCATATGATTTCTACAGATAATGAACCTTTAGAAGACAAGGACTTCGAACAAGTGACATTCAAGACATTCTTCCCGGTAGCTTTGGCTACGGCTGCTCTTATATCTGAACTGCATGCGTTTGATGTCAATCGGGTGCGGTTCGAGCGGAAGAAGCATGGCAAGGTTTTCCTGGGTCTCCGCTGGGACTTCATTGCGAAAAACCAACTGCCAGGGCAACCGGACCGGATGTTTACCATTCCCCCGTTGTTCACCATTCTTGGGCCTGATGATAATGAAGATTTGACACTCTGCCCTGTTAGGGCTCTACACTTTTACCTTGCTGCCTCCAAGGATCGTCGACGGCTACGGAAGCGCCTCTTCATACCCTTGTCAACCGCTTCAAGAACTGAGGTTTCCCGGACCACATTGGCCTTCTGGATGCGTGCCACGATCCTGCGAGCCTACACCTTTGCAGGGTTGCCTCCTCCAGCCGCTTCCAATCCTCATGAGACTTGTGCACTAGCCTCGACGATGGCCCTCCATAGCAACTGCTCCTTGACCGCTATCATGGAAGGTTGCTTCTGGCGTTCTGATACAGACTTCTCTTCACATTACCTGCGAGACCTGTCTGTCACGGATGTCCAGGGACTACACCAGTTCGGACATCTTGTACTGGCTCAGCAGCTTACATCGGCCCAACAACGCAGATGAGGGACGGTTCCGCATTCGCGTTACTGCTTCCTTGTATATACTGAATAAAAGCTGAACTGGATCTCAACCTTTTGTTCTCATTATATGGGTTTAAGAACTACTTCACTTGGCCTCCATACCAAGGCATCGGAATACGGCCACCTAGTGTGGCCCTACAGACCTGAGGCACAATCAGTATGACGATGCAGAGGTGTTCGACATTCACGCTTACTAACCTCTTCTCCATGGAGCAGTGACGTCAGTGAAGTGTGACACTCCAGAATTCCTGTGGATTTCGTTGCGTTCTGCCTCCAAAGTTGCCGGGCACATCCTTTGACTAAGCTTAGGCATAGGAGTGAGGGTCAATTTGATGCTGCCCGGAACTGAACGTTAAACCTTGGAGATGCCGAGTTGTGTTTCTCTTTCACCCGCCTCGGTCGGTGTCTGGGGGGCCTTCTTGAAGCAGGGGCTGGCCCGATTCTAGTCGCAAGACTTTAATTACGGGGGTACCTTGTAAATCGTGGCGAGGCGAGGCCTGCTTGCCGAGTTGCGTCCCTTGTCTTGTACAAGGTTGCGGCCGAACACCACATCGCTCGGGAGCACCCATCTGGGAGTTGTTGTGCTTAGTAAGCCAAGGGGTTCTGGAGAACCCACTACAAGCATAGGAGTTGCGTTGCGTAACAGGCCTCCCTTGGACATCGCTATCTACGGTTGTCATCAGTCCACACAGCTCCAAGACCAGCTGTTCGCAATGTCCAGACAGAAGGGTAATCTGCGGCCCGATAAGTGCAAGTCGTGAGATGAAGTTTAAAAATTTGGAAATTTTAATATAAATTGTATACTTATATACTTATCCTATGTCATGCAATGGATGCCCGCCCGGCCTCCCCACTACTCCAAGATGAGAATGATCATTCACGGTAGTCACGTGTGCAATTAGTGGAGCATGCTGCAAGCTTTATTAGGAACTAGGAAGCTAATTAAGGAGAGCAGCATGGAGTGCATGGGCGAATGGACAAGGAGGCCTATGGAAAAAAGTCGTTCCACTAAAAGTCGAAGCAAGAGAGAGAGGTGCAAGTCGTGAGATATGATAAGTATATAAATATACAATTTATATTAAAATTTCCAATTCTATTGTCAAGCCAACATAACTAGAATGTCATACTGAAACCCAGTAACATTTTGAATGAAATATGAATTTTGTCAAAATTGTCATAGTATTGGAAACAAAGTCCCTTTGGTCTTCATGCTTATTTGAAATACTGGAAACCTGTTCTGTTGATTGACTGGATTTTCAAACTATAATTTCATATGTGCAGGCTAGACGGGTGCCCAATCCCAATTATAAAGGACTGGGAGGATCTGTTAATGTAAGTATTTTAGACTTTCTGTGATACACTATTCATTTCAAAATCTATTCTCTTGGAATTGTTTTAGAGTTGCTTCTGTTTGGTTTATTTATCATGACAAGGGCAAAATGGTGTCATGAATTCAAAACAGGAAATGTTGATATTCATTATTACCAGTCGTGTATCTATTGTGTTCCAGAAAATTAGAAAAACCCTCAGATGGGGGGACATACTGGCAAGTCCAAACTGCACCCTCAAACCAGATAATCAGAAGGTAGGTACCTTGACCTGAAAGTATGAGTTTATACATGTGTGAGTGGCGTATTGACTTTCATACCAGGAGGTGTACATCAGTGATTTATGCATCCTCTATATCTCCACTGATAGCATTTTGTAAACCTAAACTTACCCCTAGATCCATTCCTGTGTTTCTTGCAATGTCAAATTACCTGCCCTTGATTTCCATTTGCCAATTGATTGGCTATGCTACTAGGTCAGATGTACCAATCAGGGCCCGGTTGTTCAAAACTCGGTTATCTTAAGTGACCGTAAGGAGGGTTATCTTGTTGTTCAAAACTCTGTTAACTTTAAACAGGTTGTTAACGTGACGTAAAGTTAACACACCTAAGGACCGCCACTAACTTTTTAACAGTGTGGTTAACTCGCAAATGGCGTTCATGGCTGACACTGCTTTCATGAGGCCAGTTCAGCAAAGAAAGGACGAAGAGTTACATACGAAACTGTAACTATGCACTTCAACTAAAATACATGTTGTACAAGAACAAGATGCCTACGTTTCATCATTTGTTTCCACCCCCAATATCTTTCGTTTCAGTTTATCTAGACACTTGGTATTGGTGACAAAGACCAGTTGTAATTAGATTCTAAAATGTATGAGGAATTCAGTAGGGCTGGGACGAGTAGGAAAAAAATGGAATCGAGTACCCGCATGTGCTTACCCGAATCGGAATCGAGTACCCGGAAATGTAATAAATACATTCGGGTCAACTTTCTGAATATTCAATCACGATTTAACAGAGACTATTATAGAAAACTTGAAATGTGGTAATAAGACATTAAAACTGACCTCAAGCTACTGTAAATCATGAAATTAATGCGAAAAATGCGTCTGTACACTTCTCGCATTATTATAATGACGCATTTCAGTCTGACCATGTCTACTTTTGAGAACTTAATAAAGGACAGAAAACGTAAATCTGTTGACACTACATATTACACCAATACGGGTCACTTCCTCATTACAGGTATCTCAAACCACATGTAATTATCACTGGTTACAATCACTGGTCATTGTTTAAAGTCACTCAAGCACGTCAGCCAGATTGGACATTCTCCAGCCACTTGTTTGTTGTACCTTGGTAGATGACTTGTGTCTTTGAAGTTGGATTACGTTTATGCATGTTGTCATAAGACAAGTAGTAGCAAGCAATCACGCGATCAAACATGGCAGCGTAATCAAAACATCGTCAGCTCATTTCCATTCATTGCTTAACAAGCTCAATTCAGGTTTTTTGGTAAATAACAAGTGTGAAAAGAAAAAGAACAACACCAAAGATTCAGAGTGTCACATTATATCATTAACACAGATTCTAGGGGCTCGCATTAATTTCGTGACGCATTTTAGACTAGACCCTCGCACTCACATTAAATTTGTGACACATTATTTGAATGATTCACAGTATTTAATTTACGTCTGTTTAACCAATATAGAGAGTAACACCATTACTTACACTCCTCGTTATAAAAACGAACGTTTCGTTCCTGCTGCTACTGTAACTTAACTACGCACTGCACATGCACAGATAAATTACAGTCATAAAAACTATGCTCCATTAATCGGACAATACCAATGATGTAATAACCCGTGAATTTCCGGGTTAGAATATTGATCTTCAGTAACCCATGCTTGTCGTAAGAGGCGACTAACGGGATCGGGTGGTCAGACTCGCTGACTTGGTTGACACGTCATCGTATATCAATTGCACACATTGATGCTCATGTTGTTGATCACTGGATTGTCTGGTCCAGACTCGATTATTTACAGACCGCCGCCATATAGCTGGAATATTGCTGAGTGCGGCGTAAAAGTAAACTCACTCACTCACTCAATGATGTACATGTGTGTTACGTCAAAAACGAAAAAGACAAGCTATTGTCTGCCCTTGTCATTACAGAGCTCTCTCCCTTTCCAGGTACTCGATTCCTAGAAATAGGACTCAATTCCAGCTGTACCCGACCCGGATTCGAGTACCCGAGTACCCGTCCCAGCCTTAGAATTAAGTGATGCATTTGTCGCCGCTGAATATGAAATATAAGTGATGTAATTGGCGTCTCAATACCGGCCTTCGCGAAACATGATTTTGTAAACACTATCCAATAGGAGCAAAGTGCACTTGAAGTTAGTTAGATGTGAGTGTATTTATGAAAACATCTGAACACGATTCCAGGTTTATCGGCAACGTTTCAGAATTAGTAGTGACTTTATGGAAAACTGATATCATTGATAATTAATATGCTATTTTAGAAAGTCAGTACTCCGAGTAATTATCCGATTTTGGTTTGATATGTCCGCCTGGCATCCCTTCCCATAGATGGATTTTAATTATATTTTTACTAATCATTTCAGCAATAGGCTTAATTTCTTTTTCATTCTTGGAATTTTTTAATTGAAGCAAATCATCTTTTTAAAAATGCTATATAAATTGATGATGACTTTATTAGCATAAACATTGCTCTCGCAACTGATGTGTAGAAAAATAAACAAAACATTATTATGTATCTATTTCTGTTGTGAGTGATATGCAGGCCTACTTCGTAGTCACTTTGATTAAATGTTATATTTGAATATCGAAACCTTTTTGTCACAGCGAACACAACACTATCTCTTGTCATTTTACACGATAATGTTTGGAATTTAAACTTATTTTATAACAATATCTGAATGCTAATGTTATACGCTGATGTATTTCATATAAGGAATACAATGGCACAATAGTATTTCTCTGCCGAATCATTGCAGCATTCTATAATACACTTATGAAATATAATACATGTTTTCCGTCTTTGAAGACATTGAAAAGAACTGTCTATGCATTTTCTATAGTCACTTGTGAATTGAACTAAATGGAAGTTCATCTGATCAATGAGTATCGAGGAAATTATGTTCATCTACTACAGCATTCTATAATACACTTATGAAATATGATACACGTTTTCCGACCTTGAAGTCATTAAAAAGAATTATGCATTTTCTGCAGTCACTTGTGAATTGAACTAAATGAAGGTTCATCTGATTAATGAGTATCGAGGAAATTATGTTCATCTATAAATTAGACGCAGCTTTATGTTTTTCAAGACATCTTTCTGGAATATGCGTCTGTGAAGGCGTTCAGATAATGATGATATTGCACAGTTTTATTCATGAGATTCCTGTCAACAGTAAGGTCGAATAATAGTTCGATTTAATTCAGCAGTGTTGGCCCTGAGGCCTATGGTACAATTACAGTTTGATCTACTTGCACGTGGTGCTAGTAACATATTAAGTTTCTATTGGCATTGAATGCATATTTCAGATAAAAGCTAATGGTATTATTGTCACAACATCTATATTGTTTGATGTTAAAAGATTTGGCAATGTGTGTTCATCCATTACAATTTTTGACAGACTTGGCAAATAATTAATAAATGGTATTGATAGCATCTTAATGACTTGGACATACAGTCATGACAATTTAAGGAGTGAAAAGTGAGCGATAGGTCTTGTGGGAATTCATAGATTCATTAAGACTGTAGCCTTCTTAGCGTAACTCATGTGTGTAATATTTGTAAATATTCTATCCACTGAAAACATGCTTCTACTATTAATATTACATGTATTTTCATGGATTCATCATATTTTATCTATAGCTGTGCTACAGTTTCTCATTAAAATGACTTTTCTGTTGTCGGAATTGAAGTAAGTCCCACACAGAGCTGGGATCATATGTCTTTGAAATATATATGCAAACGTCTGGAACCTTATGTTCCAATACAAGCGTTCGTAGCGCTATGACATTCGCATGCCTATGATAAACTATAGAGTTGGTCTCAACCATTGACTGGATTACATTCTCATCGTCAGCAGAGAAATTTCGAATTCTCTTTTCCTTGGGGTGCAGGCGACATTTCGCGATTCCATTTTGGGTAATCCGGAAGTAAACAGAAAACGGAATTATGGGATATATGGAAGCTAACCAGTGATGATAACCACACTGTTAAACGTCATGACTAACCATGTTTTGAACAACGCATATTTAACGTTCAGTTACCTAACGTCCGGTTAAGGATTTAACCGTCCGTTAGGAGTTAACCGGCGGTTAAGATAACCGAGTATTGAACAACTGGGCCCAGAATGTAAGGTACATATCAGCCTCAGTGTTGGGTTGGCAATATCAACACCGAGGCAGCCAGTGGTATTGGTTGTAATCAAGTTTGGGAGAAATTCAATATTGAAAACTGACGTCCCTACAAAGGAACGGTCTAAATATTTTGGGATGGAAAGGATGTCTGCATGTCCATTGGAACTGGCAATGATTTTGGTTTTTCTGTGTTATGCAAATTATCTCCCTTACCATCTTATTCTTCTGTCGATGTTTGATTGGTCTGTAATGTGTTTATGAAGATCAAGGACAGGTAATTTGATAACACAAGAACCACAGGGATGGATGCAATGTAAATGTAGATAGGTTTACCAAAATGCATGTCCTCGAGGTGTGGAGGAAGTGAATCATGACACCCCTACAATACAGGTATTAGTATGTTGCATTATGTCATGAAAGCCTGGAAGGTTAGCTTGGTGGTTGAAGCATTCACTGGTTATGCCAAAGGCCAAAATTTATTCCCCAAATGGGTACAGTGTGTGAGTGTATCTTAGTCTCCAGACTGGAAGTGATGTATCGCCATAGTCCATACTTACATGACATCCATCTGCACATCCACACTCAGTGGAATATTTATCAGTGTTAATTACCTTTGTTGAAGGTGCAGACTCTGTATCTGATAAAGTTCACTTCCCTTGTTGCTCGTTTGTTATTTTATGCTAATCTCAGCAGCGTTGCATGTTTATCATGACAGCCTGACACAAGACTTTGATTACATTATCAACTAAATACACAGTCATGGCACAATGACACTCCATTTTGTGACAAGCATGAGGTACAGGGGATGTACTGTCACCCAGCTATACTGCTGTACATGATATTGCTGTATTAGAGC